TTTTATATATATTTATATATATATATATTTATATATATTTATATATATATAAAAATAGAAAATTACTCTGCCATAAAAAAAAAAAGAATGAAATCTTACCATTTGAGACAATATGGATGGATCTACAGGGTATAATGCTAACGGAAATAAGTCAGAGAAAGACAAATATCATATGATTTCACTTACATATGGAATCTAAAAAACAAAATAAACAAAGAAAATAGAAACAAATTCATAGATACAGAAAACAAACCGATGGTTGCCAGGTGGTAGGGGGACTTGGGAGAATGGGTGAAAAACATTAAGGAATAAGAAGTACATGGCCTGGCTGGTATGACTCGGTTGGAGATTCATCTTGTACACCAAAAGGTCATGAGTTCGATTCCCGGCTGGTGCACATACCTAGGTTGTAGGTATGAAAGGTAACCAATGTTTCTCTCTCTCCCCTCTCTCTCTCTCTCCACCCATTGCTCCCTCCCTTCTTTTCTCTCTGTAAAATCAGAAAATCAGTAAACATATGCTTGGGTGAGTCTAATTAAAAAAAAAATACAAACTGTCAGTTACAAAATAGTCATGGGAATGTGAAGTACAGCATAGGATATATAGTCAATGATAGTATAATAACTATATATGGTGTCTGGTGGGTACTGGACTTATCAGGAGGATCACTTTGTAAATTATATAAATGTCTAACCACTATGCATATACCTAAAACTAATATAAAGTAATACTGAATATCAACTGTAGCCCGGCTGGGCATGGCTTGGCAGTTGAGTGTAGGCCTAGGATCCAGGAGATCACGGTTCGATTCCTGGTCAGGGCACATGCCCAGGTTGTGGGCTCGATCCCCAGTCAGGGGCGTGCAGAAGGCAGCCGATCAATGACTCTCTCATCATTGATGTTTCTATCTCTCTCTCTCCCTCTCCCTTCCTCTCTCTGGAATCAATAAAGATATGTTTAAATATATATATGTATCAACTGTAAGTAAAAATTTTTTTAAATAAAAAAGAACAAAGAAGCATGAAGAGGAGGTAATTTACCAGAAGCATAATTGATGGTCCTACTGTGCAAACTGAATTTGCTCTCCAAGACAAAAGGAGTGGAGTAAACCCTCTGTGAACACGAGCTTTCTGAATCCAGAGACTCCAGCTCCTCAGAGATAAGTCATAGTGAGCTTAGAGTTCACTGGTCACACTGCTCTGAAGATCTCCGAGGACCATGACAGAATTGTGGATGGCAAAGTTAGGGATGAGGGACCATTAAAACCGAAAACAAAGATTCTAGCTGCACATAAACGTCCCTGGGCACAGAGCTACCTCCCCCTCAGCCTATAAAATTCTCTGCCGTCAAGCCACATACCTGGTGAACCTTTTCAAGTGTGGGCCCAGAAAACTCTGGAATGGGTCCAAAAGTCTTGAGGACATGTTTTATGCCTTTACCGTATCTGTCACAGTAGCTTAACATACCTGAAACCATATGAACACAAGAATCCACAAAATCAGTCAGAACATTAGAGGACTCCCAACTAAGACCGATCCAGAGCGTCTTGCCCTGGGTCATATTAACTACATTCCTTTCTTCCTGTGAGTGAATAAAAGGAGGTGGGCAGTGCTCCTGGTTACCTGGCACTGAGGACTGAGGGTCCTCACCATGAGTCAGTCAGTCGTCAAGCTTTCCCTCCCATCTCAGAATCCTGAAAAGCAAGGGGTCCCTGGGGCCTGCCATTCTACCTCTCTCAGTGTACCTCACAGGACATTCCACTCAGCCTGTGTTCCTGCACTGATTTATTGATTATCCCATTAAGTCCTATATTCACCAAAAATGTTACCTAGAACAATGTATCTATGAGGTTACTTGTGCAAATGGCCTGAATGCATTTTCTGAGAATCAGATGTTACAGCTCACTTAAATCTGTTTTCCATTTCATGCTTGTTCCCTCACTTTTAGTCACCGCTTGACTGGGGTCTACAAGGCAGCAGATAATTTAACGCAGGCTCAGAGTGTGGCCAGTGGATGACAGCCCTGTCACCGGAGCCCAGGCTGCCTCTGTCCCCAGGCTGCACTGCTCTCCAAATGTTTTTGCAGCTGGCGCTGGGGAACCCAATCATCTTCTCAGATGCCGAGATAAGGGCCCTAGGATTTTGGTGGAGAAACTAATGAAGAGGCTCATTGGCCGGGAGAGAGGAGGAAGAAGCACAGTAACTTAGAAGCAGTTGTGGGCTCTGTGCAGCTGAAGCTAAGCTCTTCAGTTTGAGTCAGATGTACACAGAGAGAAAAGCAGAGTCTAGGGGCCTCACCTCCCAGCACATGGAACGGGCCTGCTGGGACCTGTCTGCTCCTGGCATTCCTCCCCTCCCACTGCCTGGGAGGCAGCAGGGCTCAGCCAGTGCAGGCGTGTGTGGGGAACAAGTCCCATCAGAGGCCAGGCCTGGGTGTGCATAGACGAGGCATCTCTGAGCCTGGGCCCACTGGAGACACGGCTGGGCCACCTGCTGTGCCACCCTTTCAAGCTTTCCCTCAGGTTATACCTGTGTTAAATGAAGTGAAACATCTTTCACAACCAGAAAGACTCAGAGGTTGGTCAGTCAGGCTAAAAGGTAATAGGGGAACAAATGAACAGCAGAATTTGCCAAGAACCTCAAGCTTGGTTCTTATCCACCCCAGAAAAGCTGTTTTCAATTAATTTTAGATAAAAATCATCACAAGATATTCTTTAAAAAAAAAAAAAAAAGAAACTTTTTTGCAGTTTAGTGGGGTTTTTTAAATTTTTTTTATTGATTTCAGAGAGAGGAAGGGAGAGGGAGAGAGATAGAAACATTAACGATGAGAGAATCATGGATCTGCTGACTCCTGCACACCCCCTATGGGGGATCAAGCCTCCAATCGGGGCATGAGCCCTGACCCAGAATCGAACCCGGACCTCCTGGTTCATAAGTCAATAGTCAACCACTGAGCCACACTGGCCAGGCTTCGGGGTTTAGTTTTGGTGGACCCACACTGTCGTAAAAGCCTGAATTCACTGAATTTCAATTTTATTTGCCTCAAATAGCTCTCCTTCTCTTTCAATGTGCTAAAGTAATATCAAGCTTGCTCTTAGAAGAGAAATTATTTTGAAGGGTAAAATATTCAAATATACCAACTTTTCTGACATTAGCACCTACAATTAAGTGGTGGACATTCTCTTCTTAAAATAAGGGGTTTCACTTCATTTAACACAGGTATAACCTGACAAAGATTCTGGAAGACTCCCTAAAGGTTTCAGCACTGGCTAGCTACCTTAGAGAGCTCAACATTTCCAGAACACAGAAAACCACCATTACATTTATTTCCTTTGGAAATTAAATATTTTCTTCACTTTATCTATGAGTTTATTTATTCAAACTAAGCGTGGTAAAATCTAGACACAAATACAGTTATTCCTTTTTGGGGGCAGAGACACAAGAGTCAAATGAGTTGGAAAGATATTAAATGAGAAGAAAATGGGAGGATTGGTTGGAGCTGCGTATTCATCCACGTGCAGGGAAACAGAGCCCAATGGTACCCTCCTGGGAACCAGTTCCATCTCCCTGTCGTCCTTGAGCTGCAAAAAGCCATGGATGCAATTCAAGGACTGTATTTCACCTCTGGATTACTTCACATTTTCTGAACAAGCGTTCACCTTTCTGTGCCCCTGTGAAGTCATCTGACTCTCCCAGGGGCTTTCGAAAACTTTTTTCCCTGCTTTTTATAAAATTTGTGGCTTTAAAAGGGCATTTATTTCTTTAAGATGGAATAAAATACAGTAAAACTCTTTATAATATAATTCATAATTTCCCCCCAACTTTTCCAGGAAACCAAATAAAATTCAGTCTTACAAATATAAAAACCCTTTCTATAGCATTCACTCAAGCCCATGGGGTAAGCAGCTCCGAGTCTATGGTGACCATAAGAGGCCACACAGCCGGTGTGTGGAGACCTCCACTTCATGGGTGGAGAACCAGACACCACAGGATGGCTCTCTCACTATCATAAAGTACAAGTTCATGGTTACTTAGTGTCACAATTATTTACAATGTCCCAGCAACATCAGTTATTTGCAGTATCTTCCCTTCCATTAGAGCAAAATAAGAGGTTTGAATGGGCATGTTCCAAAATACCGAGACACTTCACATTTTATCCCACGGCCTGTCCCTCCTCTGCATTACCGTGAAGTGAGCCTCCCCTATGTTTTTCCTTCTATGCTTCCATGCCCTCTATTCTGGTCAACCACGTACTTCCAACAACTCTCAGAGAGCTTAGCTTTTTACAAGACTTTGAACCTAATTTCTTAAGAGATGCTGATACAGAATGAGAAAAAATGAGAAAAAGAATTGATTATCATGAGATTGGATTTAGCTTCTCTTGCTGCTTTCTGACTTGTTCCTTGAAGGTGTTATTCCTTGTTATTGCCCTGAAGGTGAGCCACGACCCAAGGTGATGGAGTGGTGGAGGGCAATCCCATCTGTCTGTATTTACAGAGCAGGCATCTGTCTGTGTGGCCACTGTCGCAGTAGAGGCAGCTGCTGGGACACTCCCTCGGTGTTGTTTCTTGGAGAGCCTTACTTGCCACCCACACCAAAGGAGTCTGTTTTTCATACAGCCTAAGAACCAACACTCACGTGAATTCACCTGCCTTTAAGAGACAAAACTTATTAGGGAAGATCAAAAAGGCCCCAAAGCACAGTGACATTATCTAATTCCCACCTGAGTGAGACCTTGCTGGAGGCGGGTAGACAGGGTAGACAGAAATTGCCAGGAACAACTCACCTGTTTCACTGTAAATCACAGCTCCACTCAAATGAACCAGACCCACCAAGTAGGCATCTCAATTCAAAACAAACCAACAAACAGCCCTAGCTGGTTTGGTTCAGCGGTTAGAGCATCAGCCCTTGGAACTGAAGGGTTCCAGTTCGATTCTGGCCAAAGGTACATACCTCCATTGCAGGTTTGATCCCTGGCCGTAGTTGGGCTGCGCGCGGGAGGCAACCAATCCATGTGTCTCTCTCACATTGATGTTTCTCTCTCTCCCTTCTACTCCCTTTCCACTCTCTTTGAAAAACAATGGAAAAAATATCCTCGGGTGGAGGATAAAAAAAAATAAAACAAAAAAAACAACAAAAAGACAAGTATCTACACAAGTTTTCGAAGAAAGGCAAGATGGTGAACATTCATTTCAACTGGAGGTGATGTCCGGGGGCTGCCAGGTTCCAAGAAACAGTCATTTCTCAGGTAGAGCTGAACTCAGCAGGCACCCAAAAGGCTGCCAGGTGTATGAGGGACCAGTCTTTGCTGACCTGCTAGTCTAAAAGCTTAGCAAGGAAACAAACCAAAGTCTTGAGATTTCATATTCCACAGCAAAAATGTGCTAATCTGTATGCATTCTGTATTTCTCTCATGTATTTGTGAATCTTTTGTGGAGAATTTTTTTTTTAAACTGGAAGAGTAGGGAATTAAACAAAACTCTGTGTGAATATAAAATTTATTATGGACTTCATATGTCAGCCATCCAGCTAAGTGTCTCCATCTGGTTTAATTCTCACACCACCCCTGTGAGGTTGTTACTGCTGCTGCCCCATTTTACAGATAGGGATACTGAGGTGCAAAGAACACACTGGCACAGGGCTATTTAGCTTATAGGTGAAGTAGAGACCCAGGCTGACTGGCTCCATGAACCAGGTCCACTCTTCTGAGAGCTTGTCCTTTGTGGGTGTTACTTTTTAAAAGTAGCCAAAAAAGGAAGGAAGCATGCTGGCCTCCTGTTTTGAAGGTGCTATTTTATTAGATTAAAAACAAATAGGTCAAGCCTGTGTGGTTCCATGGTTGAGTGTCAACCCAGAACCAAGAGGTCACACTTGGATTCCCAGTCAGGGCACATGTCTGGGTTTTGGGCTCGATCCCCAGCAGGGGGCGAGCAGGAGGCAGACGATGATGCTTCTCTCTCATTGATGTTTCTATCTCTCCATCCCTCTCCCTTCCTCTCTCTGAAATCAATAAAAATATTTTTAAAAAGTTAATACAAAATAAAAACAAATAGTCAAGTATTTTTACCCTTTCTAGATAAACTGTAGCCTTTAAGACTAATACCCAGTCTTAACCTGAGATGCTGGCTTTATGAAAACAACATCAAAAAAAGAACTCTCTCAATTCCAATCTTGATATATCCTGGGTGACACTGAGAGGAATCATGATCATTTCCACTGGTTCTGAGCCCTATCTTATAACTGTCTAACTCTGTTCCTTGGAATGCTCTGAAGTTGAAAACTACATCCGTCCACCATTATCATATTAAGTCAATTAGGTTTTCTTATCAAACCTGCTTTGTGTGAAAAATTGTTAATGGGCCTCCTTCCTATCTGCCATGTTGTTTGACTCCCGAGTTTCTGGTTTCATCGGCTTCAGTTTCTACTTGTTTGAGAGTCAAAGCAGTTCTCAAGTCTCTCCCTATCAGTTTCTCCTGATACCTGAATTATCTTATTTTTCTCAAGAAAAAAAGAAAAGAAAAACACAGTGGTTATCCAGCAATGTCTACATACATTTCAAATGCTTTAATATGTTCATCACATTTAAGGTTCTGGTTAAAAAAAACATTTAAAATTATCCAAGTCCAGCCAGCAGGACTCAACGGTTGAGCGTCGACCTATGATCCAGGAGATCGATTGATTCCCAGTCAGGGCACATGCCCAGGGGTTGCCGGCTCTATCCCCAGTAGGGGGCATGCAGGAGGCAGTCGATCAACGACTCTCTCTCATCATTGATGTTTCTATCTCTCCCTTCCTCTCTCTGAAATCAATAAAAATGTATTTTTAAAAAATAAAAAATAAAATATCCAAGACTTTATTTTAATGATACTTCAAAACTCTAGTTTCACTTTAATGAAGCTTGTGTCTTTACATTACCCTCCTACATTCAACTGTTATTCTATCACAAAAGTAACATGGGGTGCCAGGTGAGAGTCCCGTCTCCCTTCAGTTGCTCTCAGCTGGGTGTTAAGGAAGAATCAAGTCACCTATTGAACCACTTTTGCATGACATGCGACCAATCCACTCAAGGACACAGGTGTACACCTGCTGTGTGCAAGAATACATCTGGTAAAACTGTTTGTAATTATCCATTGGAAACTGTATTTCATTAATTACCACGGTGAAAATTAACTAAAATATTACTAAAACCTTGTGGAATTACAAAATCTAAGGCAGACTCCCAAAGGTCATCTGCTCCTACTTCTGACCTCACTGCAAGACTCCTGTCAACATCCAGTCATCTACACAGGTGAGGACCAGCCTCAGCAGCTAGGCTCATCTCCTTCCACATCAGTTCCACTTCCTAGAAAGTTCTTCCTGCCATGTCCTGATCCCAAACCTGTCTGCCTGCCATTTCCAGTCTTTCATTCTGGTTCCACCCCAACAAAAGTCGTGGACAGACGTACACACATACTCTGGTCACTTCTGGATCAGCTTCAGTTTCTTGATATTTTTGTTAAATGTAGATCATGGAGCTGAATAAAATATTCCTTTTCTCTTTCTGCATATGTTTTACAAGTTAATAATATAATTATTAAAATAACATATAATTATAGAAATTTATGACAACACAGAAAAGTAAAAAGGTAATAAAAGTTACTTATAATTTCAACACCAAAAGACAGTCACCAAATTATTTAGGTGACATTTCCCCAGATTTTTATACATGGCTTTTTTTATTCATTGTCTTAATTGGGTGTAGGTTTTATTATTTGTTTTTCAAATAATGTCTTCTTTTTAAATGGCTTAAAATCTGGTGGACAGTTTCATTCTTGGAAGTTTCTCACCCATCTCAAGTGACCTTGCTTTTAAAATCATCAGATCAGGAGCTCATACTTACTTCCCCCAAGCCCTTTGAGGTGGCTTCCAGGGTAACTGATGGCCCAGCCTGACCACTTTCCAAGGGCACCAGCCCCTTCTCCTGTAGAAGCCCCTCTGTCGTGGCACCCTACCTTCTATAGATCAGCAAATCATACTCACAAGCTGCCTGCATTTAGGCAGAAGGTAAGTCAAGCAGAGGTTCATGTGGTTATTTCCCTACTTTTATTTTTTCTTGCCTCTAAATAATGCCCTTATCTTTCTCAAGAAAATACCACTTTATCTTCTATCAGGCTGAATGACATGTGACAAAGTCTCCATAACACTGCCCACCTCTCCTTCTAGTCCTCACTTAAGTGCTGTTCCACACAGAGCCCTGAGGTCCATAGACTTACATCCTAGGACACAGCCATCTGTCCTGCCCCTACCTGTGAACAACCAGGGCTGGCCATCCCTCCTGTACATGATACCGTTTCTATTCAGTTGTAAGAAAAGACAACCTTTAATTGTCTATGAAACCCATGAAAACACTACACTGCACAAAATTCCCATCTGAGCCCCTACCTTCTGCATTGAGATGCATGGTTTCCAGGGGTCCAATGAACGCATATCGCAGGCCCAGGCCTTGAGACACGATGAGGTCCAGGTCGCTTGGAGACACTATTCCTTCCTAAACAGAAGAAAGGGGGTGACACATGGGTGAGTCCTCCGGAAAGAACTTTTCTTACCATTACTTTTATCCTAAATGGGGCAGGATCCCCAAAAACTCTCCAAGCACTGTAATAGTGTTTTTATCGAATTTTGCATGATGAAACTATACTATGGAATCTGAAAAGAGACTATTTTGAGAAATGCCAAATACCAACTTGCTTTTTCCATAGCTGTAATCAACCTTTTCGCTTACTGTGCCCATTCTACTATCTTCCCTTCTCCACCCACAACCCATGGCTCACCTGCAGCCCTGGCAAAGGAGGAGAGGATGAAGGGAAAGGGAAGAAATAAACCGGGTACTAAAGGAAAAGGGCAAGAAGAATTGTCTACACATTTGTTAAGAACTGGGGCCGTAAGACTGGAGCCATCAAAAGAACTGTGAAGTTGCTCTCCAGGCTGTTCCTGCATGCAAGCCTGGCCTTGTTTAGCTTCTAGTGAGTTTATAAAGAATGATATTCTTTGATGAAATGCAGCCTAACAGGGTGTTTGTTTGCAAAGGTGGGGCCCTATAATCTTCTGCAAATGTGAATTGCAAAGCAAGAGGCACACTGTTGGGCTTTTAGGTTGTATGTCAAACTGACCATCAGTATGACCTGGTCTGTTAGAAATATTTGCATCATTGGGCCCTTCACTGACAGCTCAGAAAATATCTGAAGATATTTTCACCTTGGCCATTTCAACTGTCAGGAAGACAGACATGGGGGAGGCTGTCATGTGTTCCCCTAAGTCTTCACTGATCAGACCAGTAGAATGACTGTGAAATCTCCAGCTCCTATCCTGGGTGGCTTCTTTCACAAATAAAGCACTGTGGGCACAGACACGGCTCCTGCCTGGCAGCCATGCCAAACTGCCTCTGTAAGTGACTACTCACTGTGCTGCAGTGCTGATACCTCTTCCACCGGCAACACTGGTGGCCCTCACCAGCCCTAAGGAGGTGGTCCTCAGTGTAGCAAGGTCCCAGGAGAGGAGAATGAAGTGCTCAGCTGTGGAAATCTCAGTTCTGCCCTTACTCCCAGGTCACACCCCCACAAAGTACCCATCCAACTCCCAAGAACAAGCTCAGACATGTGGCCTACCCTACATGGCCTGTTACTCTGGGTTACAGAGAAAAGCCTTTACCTCTCCTTGAAGGGCTGCCAGGTGTCTTATCGGAAGTGTCTGAGGGGGCGAGGGTCATCACAGGTTCACCATGGCCCTGTGGCCAACAGGAAGGAGCCCTCTGCCCTCCAGATGGCCCTAGGGGATCTGGGCCAGGCCTTCCATGCTCAGTAACTGCTGTCCCTCCTCCTCCGAACCAGATGACTTCTCAAGTCCCAAACTTCAAAGTCACCCAAGAGGTAGAAAGGGGATTTGTATCCTCAGCCTCCATGACCTGCAGCCCAGCTGCTGAGGGAGAAACACCAGTGACTTCAGGTCTATGTGGATGTCTGGACCTCCCTGGTGTGGGGCAGTGGGTGGGACTGGAGCTGAAGAACCAAGAAGACAGAACCACCCACAAGGGGCCAGTGCAGTACAGGTATGAGGAGAAACTTCATTAGAGGAAACCATTCTCCACCTAACTTTGTGTGTAAGAGAGGTAAACAAAGACATGCAAAAACCATGAATATATTGTTCAGAGAATGATTACAAAGCAACCCCTCCAACCAACACCGTGACTATCTTCCTGATTGTATCCTTTCCAGAGACAAACATCTGACTTTTGTAATAACCATTTAAGATTTGCCATCTAAAGATGACAAATTTAGATTACTAAACCACAAAGTGTGCTTTTTGCATCTTCTTCAAAGTGGAATCATACTGTAAATTCTTTTGTGATGTCAACATAAGAAACGTTCAAATCTATATTTTTGTGAGTTTATTTGAGCCAAACTGTTGACAATTGCTGAGAAGCAAATCTTAATTGATTGGGATAATGCTTCAGAGAATAGCAGTTTTACACCTTATTTTATACATTGTAATCAAAAGAGAAGACACAAGTGGGTTCCATGAAATCCACTGGTGATAGATTAGGGCAGGGGTGGTCAATGTCTGGCCCTCGGGCCATATATGGCCTGCAAAATCATTTGGTCTAGCCCTGCCAAGGCAACCTCAGTTCCAGCCATCACATTAGAGGTGAGTTAATTAAATGACCAAATATAGCAGGCTAATTTTTAAATTGATAATTCTGTATGGCCCTAGAATGATGTTATAAATATTCAAATGGCACTCAGCAGAAAAAAGCTTCCCCACCCCTGGACTAGGGAGACAGGAGAAAGAAAAGAGGGGAACCTCTGGGATTGGATGAAAAGTAAAATGACAGACATATACATCTTTTACGTTGGTGGGTACAGGATAGTTAATAACAATGAGGGGATTTATGGTCTCCCATTGGTTATGCCCGAGGGGTCTGAAAAAGTGGAGTTAGCTTGACACTGCAAAGGTATATTATCTTAGATGCAAAAGACAATAGACAGGCTTAGTTAAGGTAAAGGTTGACTTTTGTCAGGGAAGATTCTAGCCTAGGATATGACTATCTGCCATAAGCTGCTTTTAGTTAAGAAGTTTTCATTTCAGACCATCCTATGTAGTTACTTTAGGTCTCTGAGTTTGCAAGGCCTCCATGCAGGCCTTCCCTGTGTTTGTAAGGTTAGCATGTGGCCCCTTTTCGTCCACAGTGACCTGCTTCTTTCACGCAAACTTATGCTTTTAAGCTCTGCCTATATGCATAGCTGTAGTCTGCCCATTCTCGCTGATGCATGAAAACCAGAGCTGACTCACCCATCCTGCTGTGCATGAACCTCTGGGTCGTTTCTAGTTATCGAGTACTGTAAACACTGCTGCAGAGAACATTTTTGCTCCCTGCTCCCAGGGTGCATATCTGAGGCAAAACTGCTCTCCCCAAGCATACACATCTCTGATATGTGAGAAAATGCTGAGCTGCTTCCCGAAGTGGCTGCACTCGTGTGCCCTGCCTCCAGCAGTGTATGTGAGGTCTCATCACTCCACATCCTCATCAGCACTTGGTGGCCTCATGCTTGCAAACTTTTTCCAATATGGTTGGCTATTGTGAGACCTCACAGGGTTTCCTATTAGTTCTAAATCATCCTACTGTGAGTTCATCTGGACTCCTAACAGCAAATTATTCTGTTTACTTGAATGCTGACAAGCTTTACCCCCTTCACTTCAGATAGCACAGCTGTAAGGAGGGAGGGGCAACAAAGGGAGGAAATAATATACAGAAGCTCAAAGTGATGCCCAGAATCATTAAGAAACCCATGTTGAACCACAGGGCACCCTCCTCACCCTCCTCCAAGCTCTGGGGGCAGGAAGGGTGGCTTCTGGTTCCCTCTCCAGGCTGCCCACAGGCATCTGGGGTGGCACCTGGCACCCCAAGGGCTCCAGAATGCTGTGAAAGGCAGGGGCCCTGCAGACTCTCCCTCATCCCTGGCTACCAGGTCAACATTCCAACCCTGAAGTTCTCATGATGGCTTTCAAACTGTGAGGATGTGGACAGAGAAGCTGTCTCACACTTGCAGTGCTATTTGCCTTGGCTCTTTTATAACTGTGTTTAGTACTTTTAGGGCTGACTTCAAAAGGATTTCAAAATACCCAGAAAGGGAGCCACCCAAGGGTGGTGGTTTCTTTTTGATTTGTAAGTATCATGTGAACTAACAGTGACACCACAGAAAGCCTCAGAGGGACTCTCCATGCTACATCATCACACAGGGAGGAGCCACACCTTCTCCAGATTCCCAAATGTTCTCCACTCCCTCCTGGCTCGTCTACGGAAGGGCTCTACTTTTATCAGTTACAATTTATTAGCTGAACAAGTTAGAAATGGGATAACATTTTAATATCTTCTTTTCTTAACTCCTTCTTTCTGCCGCATTTGCATTATTGAAGTAGACTTCTCTAAGCTTGAGTTTTTACCCAGCAATTAAATCCAGAGAAAAGAAACAATTAGAAGTGGTTCAGCTGAGATGCTCACTCATTAAGATTTCACCTCACTGAGGAAGTTTACCCCTGCTGCACTCAGCAGTGAATGAAATGCTCATAGTAACGATTTTTGTTTGTTTGTTTGTTTTTAATCCTCACCCGAGGACATTCTTAGAGAGAAGATGGAAAAGAGAGAACACACACACACACAGTGTAAGAGAGAAACATTACTTGGTTGCCTTCTGTGCGCTCTTGGACTGGGGAGCAAACCCACAACCCAGGTGTATGCTCTCACTGGCAAGTGAACCGGCAACCTTTTGGTGCACAGACTATGCTCAACCAGCTGAGCCACTCTGGCAGGGTAGTTAGGATGTTTTGAAGCTCAAGTTGCTTAATTTTGTTGTTGAGCTTCATTCTTCTGAGGGAGACCAGAGTTTGCCACCCCAAAATATGCCTTTTGGGATAGTGATGATTTCAAGCTGGTTATTTTTAAGAAACAGAAGACTCAGAAAGAAACTTGGATCCTTCCCCTTCACCTGCCAAAAGGGATTCAGATAGGAAAACCTGCTTCAGGAAGGGAACTTTAGCATATTCGCCTCAGCATATGTGAAGTAAGTGGCAGGCAGGGAGGATCCAAGCAAAAGTCTGTTTGTTGGACTTCCCTCCCTTCTGTGTCCCATGGTTTCCGGGTGGAAAGCAAAAATGTCTTGACCACAAGTTTGCTTTTTCTCATCTATCTGTGAATTGCCTGCTTCCCCCTTTGAAGTCCCAGATCCCGCCTCCCTCTCCTTGGTCCAGAATGGCATATAAGCCTAACTGTCCAGTATGTTGTCCTCAGGTCCCGTACTCCCGTGGAACCCACGTAATGTACATCCATAATAAATTTGTTTGTTTGTTTGTTTTGTTTTTGTTAATCTGTCTCATGTTAATTTGATTACTAGGTAAGCCAGAAGAATTTAGAAAGGTTAAAGGAAAATTATTTTTCCACTCCCCCAGTTTTGGCAAGCCAGCCAGGTGCACTCACTAGCTGGGACACCACTAGTA